CATCCTACCATAAACTCCTGCTTTGTGAAGTGTACAATGCACTGTTTTTTGTTTTTTCCTGAGGCTGTATCAGAGAGGTGTTCATCAGTTCTTTTGTAAGTTTTGATTCTTTGTTTTTATTATGATTACCAGTTATCCCATCAAGTGTCTGTGAATCCCTTTCAGAGAACTTTGACTTTCAACCACTCTTTCCTCCTGCCTGTGCAGTTCATCTGTGTTTGGCATAAGCTGTCATGATTTTTCATACTGTTCCCGTAGCATACCCAACCAATTAAAAGTTTTTGCACAACACAGGTTTTTATTTGTTTCATAAACTGCAGACTTTTTTTCTTGTTAAGCATTGGAAATGAAAATATAACTCAAATGAACACGAATCAATAGATTAAATTTCGTGACTATATCACGAAATGCCGTGAGACTGGGTTGAACGTAGAATGAGTATGTAACAGTGCATGTCTGACATCCTATTAACTGGTTGTGTGGTGATGGCATTGTCAAATTATAGGCTGTCCTTTAACTTTAAATGCACTAGTTAACTATGTCATCTCTTGAAACAGAGCAGTATTTTATGTCCCTTGCAGAAAGAATGCCTTGAATTTTCTCTGCTATTATAACTGCTGTATAAGGTTACTTTGATGAATCAAAGATACAACATTTTCTTGCTAAAAAGGTACTCAAATGGTGAACATACTGTAAATTTATTAACAAAGAATATTGAGTGCATTTTTAGTACATGTTAAGTGAGTAACATGCAAATGTAGAAAATCTCAGTGTGTGCAAAAACCTTTGACTGGTAGTGCATATAAATGTTTTTTATTTAATTTTGTGACCAGTGCACCTGTAATTCAGGTAGGTAGCATTTGACCTTTGAACCTTGTTATTTGCCTTTGTGCATTTGAAAACTTGCATATCAAAGTGCTGATTATCGGACCACTTTTATAGCTGATACATACTGCTAATTGGCGTTCAGCCTAATATGCCTCCCCTTTGTAGTTGTGTTTTAAGTGTGACTTAGTTTTCCATATCGTACTTCCATTATTGTTCACCACTTGTTGGCTTTGTCTAACCCTCCTGAGATGGGCCAATGGGAGACTGATAGATACTTGTTCATTGGCTGCTTTCAACTGTGTAAGTTGGCTTTGCATACACATGGCATTGTATACAGATGGAATCTTTTCATTGCTTCATCTAGCAATTAAGTTCCTTCTTATGTAACGACTGTTGCTTCAGGAGCACAAAGCAGTCATTTAGAAACTGTAGCCAAGTATAATGTAAAGAAATTGTATGTGTACTTCATATGAAATATTGCACTGGAACTGCATGGATGATGCTATACATTGACCATAGCCTTCACTACTACTTAGAAGGCACAAAACATATATTACAGTTACTAATCTGTAATTGCTGGTTGACTCAGATAGAAATTTTAGTTTTTAATTTTCACTTCATTGTGCAAAAGCTTAGTTCTGACATCACTTTGTCATTGATGAGTCTCTCATTTCATCACCCTGAGCATTCAAAAAAATGGAAATTCACTATGGCTAAGGATTATTGTTTGTGTCTGCAAATTTATAAGTGCAGCATTCATCACTAAAATGACTAAAACCAACTTATACACTATAACACCTCTCTTAATATAAAGTGTCTAAAACTCTTGATAGATAAGGCATAATTTGTCCTTGTGAAATTGCATTTTTGTAATGTTTTGTTGATTACACAACCCTGACTCAAGAGCTTCTTTAAAATCCCCCATAAGTGTGTTCAGCAGGGTTGAGATGCGATAAGTCAAGTCAAAGTCAAAAGTCTTTATTGTCAATTCTGCCATATGTACAGGACACATGGAGGACTGAAATCACGTTACTCTCAGACCCCACGGTGAGTGCAATAACAACGACAAGCAAGATAGAAATGCAAGACAGAGACAAATATTCAAGTATATACAAGCATTCAAAAATAAAATTAATCTCCTGTGATAACCATGGCATTTAAATAATCTTCATGGTTGATCACACCATTAAAATGAAAACTGTCTTGTGAAAGGGGACATTGCAGTCTAAAGAGGTTTCAATCCCATCAGGAAAGAAACTCTTTACCGTAGGATGAGTGTGACCACTCCGAATCGATTGGTACTTATTTGTATTTACCTATCCTTCTAATAGCTTTATTATTAGGTGCTGTCCAGTCTATTTCAACTTCTGGTAACCATATACATAACAATCCTCCATAATGCCCTTTCTACCCAATGGAAGGTCAATTCTTATGAAGATTGGGTCCATCCAACTTATTGATCATACCCATGGTAAGATTTAATCCGGTGATTTGTGCTTCAAGTAGACATTAAGGCTTGATTTGATCAAGAATCCACTTGTTTGTTTTTCCCGGAGCCTAAAGGTGTTGATGTTCTTCCTGTTATGCTAGTTTACTGTCCTGCTTTAAGATCCACAAAGAATCAAAGGAAATACCACATTCTGAACAATTCTGATCTTCTTAAAGATAGATCAGTACTTTTTTTCTGAGACCTTCATCGCAGCTACACTAAGTGTCAGTCTGCAATGTATATCTTGACTGCTGGATTTTTTGTTGTTGTGGATCTAATAGCTTAGGTGGTGCAAATCCATTCCAGGAAAGTACATGCCACAACATAACACAGCTGCCAAAGTTCTTCACCATGAGAAACAAGCCGTGGACTTGGCAGGGTTTTTTGGCATGGAGCACACATGCATTTTTTCTACTTGTTGACAATAAGGTGAAGGATGACTCATGTGACCATATTTCTTCCTAATGCTTAGAAGTTGACTTCTTGTATTTACTTTTCTACTTGCAAAAGTGTAGGGAGTAATGAAAGTTTTTGCACTGCATGACAAAAATAACATCCATGTCTAAGAAGTTCTCAAAGGCCTGAATTTGACAAACTATCTACTCACATTTTGGACTGACAGTCAGTCAAATGAATAAGAAATGTTGTTGGTTTAACTGAAGCACAGTCATCAAGATTAAGAAATATGTGCCTTTTTCCATCGATGTCTCTGTCTTTCCCTAAGAATTCCTCACCAACATCACTTTAGTCACTGTTCCTAACGAAACATCAGCTATACTTCAGCAGTGTCCAGCATTGAAGCATGAATCAAGTGTGTCTGGCAATCATCTCTCTCTCAAAGTCACTGAGATCTCTTCCTCTAACTTTGGTACCGAAAATAATAGGAAAGGGGAATGATTATCCAGAGGTCTGCTCGGTACAGTTTGCTGATCGCAAGCATTATCCATTTATCATATTGTGATCGAGCTGGAGCTGATCGACCGGTTGGACAGCTCTGCTTCACAGAATGAAATGTTCCATATCCTTTTCGTTTTTGGTGAGGGGAGGCATCTGCCCACCCCTTAGTTCTACCCCCATGACAATCAAAGGCAAACACCTTCTCAAAAAAAGTAGGTTATCTACAATTGTGCACGTTTTCCAAAGTGACCAAAAATGTCCAACCATAACAGATAGTCACACAAAAATCTTCAACTCTCTGTATAAACCAGTTATCGTGTTTGTTTTGTGCAGGTGCTCTATTTCGTGTTTTATCTGTTTATGATGGAAATTGCAATGTAGAATGTTACCGTCATCTTAGTGTTGCATTTGACAAACAATTAAAAGTAGCACTTTTCAATGCATAAGTATTAAGTCAGCTGAATCAATATCTGTATTAACCAAAGACAATAAACAATTCTGTAGCACTTTACTTGATGGGGTGAAACATAATATAGCATTATGGAATCACTTCTGTATTGATTAACCACAAGCTAAATCATAGTTACACACTGATCTCATGTTACTTCATCATTAATGAACCGTGATGCAGTTCAGCTCAAGCAGTGACTATTCACTATATCTGTTCATTCTGTAAACCTTTGTGAACTACTGAAGGAACTACTTAAGGATCTACTTAAGGAATAAGTCATGAATAACACATATATTGAATACTGATCTTATTTGTTCATCATTAATGAAGCATGATGTGTCTTTCATCCCATGCAGTTACTTGTTACTGTTAATTCTGTAAACCTGTATAAACTACTGTAGGAACTACTAAGGAGCTAGTGAAGTAATGAATAATACAAGTGAAAATCTGATTTCATGTTTGTTCATCATTAATGAATCATTAATCTTTTCTCAAGTGGCAACTATATTTGTCCATGATTTGTTCATAATTTGTACTTCAGTAGTAACTGAGTTATTACTAAGTATTTGTGTCCCAAGTTGTGTTACCAAAAGTTCTAAACAAAAATCCAAGCATGAACTAGTGAAAACTGAATTTAATATCCTTTATACTACAGAATATTTATGTGAGCTGATTAATTTGTATGCATAACCTATCTAAAACACATGCATTACATACTGTATGCATTAAGGTTCAAAGGTAAAGAAGAGGTATTCTGCTTGACATGTTGTTAAAGCTATAGCACATTAGTGTCTTTACACTCCTTGATACCAGTTACTTAACATGCCAAGCAAATTGTGCTAGGCTGTAGCATTCACATGATGTAAAACTGATTAGGTAATATCCAGGTAATTAGAGAATCCCACTTAATAACATTTATATGATGTTAGATTTTGATCCTTTGGCTCATTATGTCTACAGCCTTCTGTTAAGATGAAGTGCAGTTGATGCTGTTCTGGATAAATACAACAGATCAGTCAAAGAGTTTCAAAACCCATATAACGGTATACTTCATTCTGGACCACACTGCCTTATTTGGGGAATAAAGAAAAGAAAAAAAAAACAAAAAGAATTCAGTCACAAAGCAAAATCAATTCCATTCTCCAGAAACCTAACCACACCAAACTGCTTTAATCTATAGCAAAGTTGCAGGCTTAGAAAACACCATTTGCATGCTGGAATAAATATATAAATAATTGCTTTCACTAGCGTGCACCTGGCCAATCAGTAATTCAACAAAGTGTAAGGCGTTGCACAGCCATTGAAATCGCAGCGACGCGACAGTATTTAAAAATGGCCATTCAAGCGAATGGTACCATGACTAATATTTTAAGTAAAACAATTGGAACGCTCTTTGGTAGCTGACACACTCAATCCAGTCATATGGATTTTCTATCTAAATGGGTATGACTGAGATTTATGAGTCTTTCGGGTGCACCACGATGGCCATTCTCTCCCATCATTGCAAACTCTTGCGCACCCCCTGGTGCTTAGTAGTCTCCAAAACTTCTTTGTGCTTGCTTGCAGATTGTCTTCTTGTCTCTGTGGTTGCTCATTATTCAGACACAGACGGATCTCAGGTCATCTGCAGCTGCAGCAAAGGAGAAGCAGGAAAGATGGCGATCATTCAGTAGCCCAGGCACACGCATGAGACACAGAACAACTTTTAGCAGAAGCATTTTCTCTGGACGAGCCCGTGAGTAAAATACGATCGCGAACTGATATGATCATAGTTTTTGTTAATGAGTCATGACCAAGACGTGGTGGTGGACAGGAAAAATCTGGAGAGTGTCTCTTTACTAGGCTGAAAAGAGTCAAGTGTTTTTCCTTTCTTTCCTTTTCTTAGTTAAGACCAGTCTTGGTGACTTGAGGGACTGAGAGCAAATTAGAAATACACCGACAAAGCGATCGTTGGAACACAATCATTTAATGCCAGTCTTATTGCAGCTTTATATTTCCTTCCAACCTTTTTTTGTACATTTCTAGCTCGGTAGCTTGCAAGCTAACTACGTATTTTTGGAAGTCGAAAGCTAAAAGCTAACTACTTATGATGGTCTCCATTGGAAGCAGCGCTGCATGATCCAGCAGTGGGACAGTTGATTAAATTGAGCAGATATGTTTCGGGATCTCGCTTTCGCCCGTCTAGCTGCCGCTGACTGATTGAGCGGAGAAGCCATTGCACTGTTAGGTCTTCTCTCCGAGCAGCACCAGCTAAACGTCCTGAGCCTCCATTAGTGACAGTACGGCTTCGCCGCTGGTCCATGTCCAGACATAAGCGGAGAAGCTCCGTCCAGGTTTTTTTTTTTGCTGGCTTCTCCTGCTAAAGCTACAGACCTAAACGTGTGGATTTTTCCTCTTTCTGGGCGAGCCAGAGCACCTAGTTTTGTGGGATGTTTCTGTTTTTTTCTTGCTTTTGAGATCGCACTTAGACTTCCTTCTTTTTGTCTCCCGGTCAGCCGCACACTGTCGCGGCAGCAAGGCTGAGGTTTTGGAAGGGGCTGTGTTGTCAGTGCCATGAAGTCAGGTATGTCATTGTGGGCTTTACCATAAAATGGAGGATGGCGCCTCGGTCTTTTAGGAACAAGGACTAGGGGGAATATCTCATACAAGGATTCACGTCGATGTTCTCGTTTAGCTAGATATTAATGATATAGACTGCGCATAATCACGAGTAATAGGACACTGAGTGTTGCGAGATCTTTTTTTTCCTGCTGGTGTTGACCTGTCATGTATAAGTTTTTCTTCCCAATTGCTATGGACTTCACAAGAAAATGGAGGGCAGTAGGGCTTCCAAAGTGAAAGGGGTTAGCAGACAGTTTGGTGTGAGAGGAGACGGGATGAGACAGGAATGTTAATGCTTACCAGTGCAGTGGTGGTAGGACCTACAGGTGATTAACATTCAGCCGTGGGTTCCTCAGGAGCTGGGAGAACTACCATCTTCAAGACTGTGAAAGTTCACCAGCTTATTGTTTAATGAATTTCTCAGCATGTATTTTAGAAGTCCATTGATATAGAATGTCGTCAGCATTGGTTGACTTTAGAAAAGCCAGACAGCCAGCATTCCATTCAGGTCTACATGAAAATAAAGAGCAGAGCATGTATGGAATGGTTATTTTGGCTGTTCTTGCCAATTACTATTCAGTTGGAAATGATAAGGAGAAACAATATTTTTTATTTTGCAATATTTATTGGAATGGCCATTGCTCATGGTTGGTTTGGGCTTTATGCATGTTTGGGGATTTGGTTGTGGTGTGAGGGTTTTTTGATAGAACAGTGTACTTATGGAGAATTGAAATTACAGCTTAACCAACTTCATTACCTGATTATGGTTGAGCTGGTGTTGATTGCAGTGGATCTGCCTGTAATTTTTGACTACATAAATGCAATGTAATATATGTAGATGAATGCCTGAATGTAGTGGTTGTGTTGAGAAGTGAAAATTGACATTTGTGTTTTTTAATTATTTTTTATATATGGAGGAGGATGTATGTTTGTATTCTGAATGACCTGGGGGAAATTGGGAGTCCTTTTTACTGCTTACTGAATGAGGAAAAAGTTAAGCCTAATGCATCTGGATCTACAATATTATGTCACCATTGGGGCAAAGTCCTCTGGGGATTGAGGGACTTCTGCATTATGGCTGACTTCAGTGAGATCCTGCTGGTAAGGAGAGCAGAGTCTCTGCAGCAGCCTTCTGGCCGGAGAGGATCAAAATGGAGGTTCCTTTAATTGGAAGCTAGGTTGTTCATTCCTGAGCAGTTTCCTTCTTCTAACACCTTGTTTTAAAATCATATGCAGTGGGTTTCTGATTTATTTATTCAAGAGCTCCAGAGGCAGGATTCTGTGAACATGATTGATTTGCATGCGTCACAGCTTTCACAAGGTCAGAGAGGAACCATTTTGACTCTTCCTAAAAATCACTAAATGAGTGTTTTTGGGATGCCATTGTACCCAGAACAATTGTAGTGTGTCCTGGCAATGTGAACTTTCTCCGTTCACATCTCATTTTAATTTTGGTTCCGTTTGCTGGTTTTCTTGTCATTCAAGCATCTCCTTTGTTTACTATTGTTCAGCTACAGCCATAAACACATGACCTTGAAGCTCAGACTGCTTGTGGTCTGAAAAACTGAACATGTTCTGCATCTCTGCCCATCATTTTTTTGAGTGTTTTATACTACACTCAATATGTGGGTTTGCCTCTTTGATTCATAAGATATTACATTAGGCATATGCATGTTCATCTTTCTTGGGGGTAGTGGCAGTTGTCAACTGGGAGCTTTCAAGATCTTATGTAGGATATTGGAAACCTTTCTCAAAACTAGACTCTGGTGAACAGAATCTACAAACCAACATGAACCTTACAGGCACGTATTGTGGGTACTCAAATATTTTTTGTCTTTATGTGGTATGTAATGTTAGCATGAAAATGTGAAAGCCTGTATATGAATTTTAATAATAATATCAATAATAATATCAAGTTCATGATGATTCATAATGATTTATGTTTGGAGAAGATGCTGCTTTTTTGGAGGGTTAAGACTGTACACAAAGTGGTTGAAGATTAAAATAAAAAAGTAGAAGCGTCTGAAATCCACTCAGTCTATAAATTCAACTGAATAGTAAATATGTCCAAATTCAAAATGAGCAGCTTCACAAATAAAGTGAAGCTGTGTTTTTCCTGCCAGTTAGGCTGGAGGCATTGCAGAGTCTTGCTTGACCAAAGTCTACTTTTAGAGAACCCAATGAGGAGATGGTCTCTGCATTAGTGGTCGATGACGTCTTTGCTCAACTAAAATCATCCACAGCATATTTTCCACTGTCTACAGATCTGCATCTCTGAATTTCTGACTGCGACTGATTCATTGATTAACCTTTTTGCTTTACTTTTGATTCTGAACATGATTGATTTGACCCATTTTTAGTTTTGATGCATGTTTGATGATTAAAAGCACTAGATATGTCATGAGGTTTTTTTTTTTTTATATATAATTGTAATAGAATTAAATGTAATCATGCCCAGTTAATGTATTTGATTTTCATTTGCAGCTCCTAGCCTCTGAAAAATTAAATGAATGATGAGACTAATCATATTTTATGTGGACCTGAAGCTTGTAATCATTAATAGAAGGTAATAGCATAATCAACCCTATTTAATTAGGATCTTTGTTAAGCGTGGCAGAAAACATGGACCATGTTTGGGAAATGTCTCATAAGCACATCCCATTGTTGCTTGACATACTTTTTTCCCTTTTTGAGTGTTGTATATAAATTCGAAAAAGTATTATTGCTTGTGTGGTTTTTTTTTTGTCTCTGGTTGCCTTTGTCAATGCCATTGTGTTTGGCCTTGGTACTCTTGTATAAGGCCAGTCAGTATCTTTTTGGGAAAAGCACCAACACTTTGTGCAAAATGATAAATACGCTTTCCATATTCAGATAAACAAACAAAAAGGAAGAATCAGATCTTTTATGCATGAAACTGATCATGATACATGCCCTGCAGTCTTTACTAGCTGTTCTTCAGGCAGTTTTGATTGTGATTGAGCAGTTTGGTCTAGTTCAAACCACGGAAGAAGGTCATTTTCAAGGGTACCTGTGCTGGCAGCTGGACTTGGCAAATAAACTGTCAAGGACCACATTTAAGGAACGAGAGCCGTGAAACCAGTGCACAGATGGTGTGATGTCATGGCACTAGTGAAATGAATGATATTGCCAAGTAACACAAATGCTTAAGGCAAAAGTAAACGGTGGTTAGATGCTGTTGCATGCTAATGAGTTTTGAACTACTGATTTCAGGAAGAACGGTTTAGCTTTTTGCCAACGTTTGTTTTAAAGCCTTGACTGCTCACCTTTAGTTGGCACTTCCGTTTCCTTGAAAAATATTTATCTGCATTGAGTCCTCAATACATTTCTTGCATCCTTTTAGTTTACATTGGGGAAATATCCATGGAGGAACCCAAAACCAAAGCTGAAGTGAATCTTAAATGTGAACGTTTTCTTTAGTCATACGTGTTATTCAGATCTTAGATTGATTTGACCAATTCTTAAAATTAGTAAAACGAATGAATTATTTTAAACGGAGAATATTGTATGCTCTGGCTAAGGCTCTCTGCTGGTTTGGTCTAATTCAGATACTGCACTTGGTTCCAACTGTTCCACAAAAAGTAAAAGTCACCTTGCAGGGACGGAAACGTCTGTAAATTAATAACCCAGTTCACAGAAGGCTCCATTATAGAGGTGCTGGTGCAACCAAGTTGGATCACTGTTCCGTTTTGCAGAAGTGTGTTGCTATGCAGACGTAAGCATCATGTGCCGTGGTTGTAGTTAGGAGGTTATCAGGCTATGAAATACTGAGTTTGAAATGTTTGCGTTGCACTGAGACACATTGGCATTATTTCTATTATTGTCACTGTAGTACTAAAAATCTGCTTAATTCTGATGTGCCTTGTTCAGTTTTGAGATTAAGGCAAGTAATTAAACTGAAACAAAGTTTTTGAACTGCTAGAGCTTACTGAGAACCTCAGTAGCAAATAGCTATTTGCAGAGATGCTTTATTTTGTGGTCTAACTGTCAGAATGTTCCGGACAAAACTTTTGCATGCTGTAGAGCAAGAATGCACCCCATCATGCCACTGGTGCTTTCATGGTGGTCAGACAGCAGTCTTCAGCGCAGCTCAGCAGTGAAAAGTTTTATATAGCT